AAGTGTATTGACAATGTCTGCCGATAAGCTTATTGGTGTCGGCAGACATTGTCAATCCTGGTGATCACCCGTGAATACCATGCTCTGGAATCACTCCAAAATCCTTTCTTTGCTCCCTCCTCAAAGATAGCTTCCTTGATGGAGATTGTTCTGCGATAATTATTGTCCTTGCATTTGTTTACAATAAAATCATTACCTCTTGGGTTTGAACCCCAATTAAATCTTGGGATTTTTCTTGGAGCTGATTTTGGAGTGGATGTGACGATTTTACCATCTTCACCCGATAGAACACTTTCACTTCGATCGAGATCTTTTTCGGATCTGGATGAACCAGCTTCATTGGTGGGAAATGACGGTTGTGACGTGGATGGACCAGCTTCACTTTCATCCATCTTTTCTTCTGATTGCTTTACATCAGTTTCAGGCATTGTGAGGTTATCCACAACAGAAATTATGTTTATATTCGATGGATGAACCAGGGCCACATTGCATTCCGCCACATACTGGTTCACACATCCTCTAATCCTCTGTTCAGATATGTCTATCTCTGTCTTCATCCGCTTCAAAAACCCTTCCTGCCAGTTAACAAATTCTTCTCTTGATAACGCTTTCACCTCTTGCTTCATCTCTTGTACCTTTTCTGCCGTTACTTCCCTCACTGCATTTCTAATCTGCATTCTGAAACCCTCCATCTCTTCCTGGATGATATTTCTCGTCTCCTTAATTAAGATTTGTCCCATCCGAGACATTTCCCTCTGTAAAATACCGTCTAAGGCAGAGGCTGTTACAAATTCTGCAAGAATAGAATGACCAGACTATAACACAATTAGAAACATATTTATGCTGCTAATTTGAATGGCTTTTACATTGCAAGTTAGAAAATACTTTGTGATAAAAAAAGAATACACACATGTAATATCCCAGATGCACATAATTTTTTTGTTTTCCTTAAAATAAAATTTGAAGATTGACCTACCATCCTCATACTCGGACTCTTCAAAAGATGCTTCGTTTGTTGCCATCCTTAGAATCTATAAAAATAAAAAGTGACATTTATTTCTTACGATAAGTATCAAATAAGACTCTAATATCCCTCCCTTTTCTAAAAAGATCTAGTAAAATGATCAATATCCAAAGTATTACCTTTTCTTGTGAACAAAAACCGGAAAACAATATTTTATATCTTACTTAAAGATACCAGGTTAGGTTTAAGATACCAGGTTAGGTTTAAGATACCAGGTTAAGTTTAAGATACCAGGTTAGGTTTAAGATACCAGGTTAGGTTTAAGATACCAGGTTAGGTTTAAGATACCAGGTTAGGTTTAAGATACCAGGTTAAGTTTAAGATACCAGGTTAGGTTTAAGATTAAGGTTAGGTTTAAGATACCAGGTTAGGTTTAAGATACCAGGTTAAGTTTAAGATACCAGGTTAGGTTTAAGATACCAGGTTAGGTTTAAGATACCAGGTTAGGTTTAAGATTAAGGTTAGGTTTAAGATTAAGGTTAGGTTTAAGATTAAGGTTAGGTTTAAGATACCAGGTTAGGTTTAAGATACCAAGTTAGGTTTAAGATACCAGGTTAGGTTTAAGATACCAGGTTAAGTTTAAGATACCAGGTTAGGTTTAAGATTAAGGTTAGGTTTAAGATACCAGGTTAGGTTTAAGATACCAGGTTAGGTTTAAGATACCAGGTTAGGTTTAAGATACCAGGTTAAGTTTAAGATACCAGGTTAAGTTTAAGATACAAGGTTAGGTTTAAGATACCAGGTTAGGTTTAAGATACCAGGTTAGGTTTAAGATACCAGGTTAAGTTTAAGATACCAGGTTAAGTTTAAGATACAAGGTTAGGTTTAAGATACCAGGTTAAGGTTAGGTTTGAAGATAAAGGTTAAGGTTAGGGTTAGAGATTGATATTAAAGGAAGGTTTAAAAGTTAATGAGGGGTTGAAGATTTAGATTAAATTTTAGTTCTTGTTTCAGAGTGGAATCTTGATATGGTAACTAATCAAACAAATCTTCATTTTTGAAAAGTAATCTAGTAGTTGAATTTGTAAGACCAATGCATGGACTATTGTGTGTGTAAAAGACAAAAAATGATTTGCTCGGAAAGTATGGACAAATGATTTAAATAAATTTTAGGGGCAGATAATTCGGCGGTATTTGGTAACCTCTAATTTAAAAAAAAACTATTGTCATAAGGTTGAGTTCATAGGTTAGATTAAGGGTTAGTGTAAGGCTAAGATTAAAATTAAAATTAAGGTTTGAAAAAAAGGGAAAGTAAAGTTTATTGCAAAAGTTAGGGTGAAGGTCTACTTCAGGGTTAAACGTCATGGTTTATTTTGTAAATAAAGTTCGGGTTTAGTTTAAAGTTAAGGTAAGGTTTAAGATTATAGTTAAGGTTATGTTTACAATTAAAGGTAGGGTTAACATAAGAATCAAGCTAAGGTTTACTATCAAGGTATCCATTAGGTTTCAGATTCAGGTTAGGTTTAAGATTGAATTTAATGTTATGGTTAAGATTAAGATTCAGATTAGAGTTAAGGATGGGTTAAAGAGTAAAAATATGTTTGAATTAAATTGATGATAAATTAAGGTTGTGATTTAGGTTTAAGTTATGGTTAAAGTTTAGTTTATGGTTAAGAGATAGATTAAGGATAAGCTTGAGGTTTATTTGAGGTTTGAAGATTAAGATTGACGTAAAAGTGAAGGTTTACTTCTAGGTTAAGATTCAAATTAAGGTTTGAATTCGGATTACATATAATATTTAGTTTAAGATTAAGAACAAATGTTAAAGTGGAATGCCAGGCCAACTCTTTATTTTATAGATCTTTGTGGCATCCTTTTTAGAGAATGGTATGAGGCATTAAAAGGCCGATATTAGCTCTGATTTTTTCTTTTGTATATTTTTAAAGAAAAATAAAGAAAAAAGTATTTATATCCAAATCAGATGTTTTCTACTTAAAAGTTTGCTGTATATGAATGCATCATATAAATGTCTAATAAAATATGCAAAGAAATGCTGCAAAGACTTTTTAAATTAATTTTATACCAATTATTTATGCAATTGAATTTCATCATTTGTGAAATATTTTTAAACCTATGGTTAAAAACACCATGAAACTAGTCATAACTTAAGAGAACATGTTTTCCAATCATATTTTAAAGAGAAATTGAACTGAAATTGCAAAAATTTAGGGGAAAAAATAATTTTTTTTTAAATTTGTTATTTAACCCGATCAAAATTACACCGATCCTCATCAAAATTTCAACATAATAACTACAAAACTAGTTTATTGCCTTTTTCATGGATTTACTATTAAAGAATATATTTGATTGTCAAGTTCAATTTTTTTTAAACTCCTATTATACCGAATAAGACGAGTTTTCTTCGAGAAATGTTATTTATATCTAATAAATGTACAATTCTGGTTGGGATCGGTTTATTTTTCATCAGGATTGGCCAAACTTTAAAAAAATATGTTTCTGTAAAATTTAAAACTTTCATGCCCATTTCTTATAAAATATGATTAACAAACATGTTTTTCTCCAGTTGTGCCTAGTTTTAAGAATTTAAACACAAGTTAAAAAAAATTATTTGTTTTATTTTAATTATTTTTTTTCTATTTCTAAAAATTTCTATTCGACTTTTCTCTACATATTTTATTAGGTATCCATGTGATGCATTGATTTATAGCAAATATTTTACAAGAAACATCTAATTTTGATGTAATTTTTTTTCCCCATTTTGTTAAAATAGGAAACTAATTCTATTAAATTATTAAGAGCTAATGTGTGCCTTTCAATGCAGAAACCATCATTTAAAAGGATTGAAACAGAGATCTATAAAATTAAAAGCTTTGGGGATATTCTTTGGGATACTCCTTAAGCATTATCACAACCTTCACGTCAACCCCTTTGTTTCTTTGGCTGATTTATCTTTACTCATAGTCTTGCAATCAAAGGTTAAAATAATTTTATATTCTCAACCTCATATCTAAAGTCGCCCGGGTTGTGAAATGTTAGAGAAGGATATGGAGATAACGAGCAGTATTCAATCTCAAAGTCCATTAAACAATATACAAAATAAGAGCAGAGGAAACACGGACCTCCGAAACATCAGAGGTGGGATCAGATTCCATGGAGGAGTGAGCATCCCCTGCCGAGCGGTCACAACCGCCGTGTGCTCGTTGTCATGATCAGGAAATAATGGGGGGGGGGAATCTGTCGTCAATTCAGTATATAAATAATGGACTAACAATTAATATGAAAAACTTCAGTCAGCATTTGACTGAGAGCGTCTTCTCTATAAATCGTGAAGTGAGGTGTTGATCCTGAACTCGATAGTTCGAATCCAACTGTGGGACATGTACACCGGTTCCTCTGGTGAGACCGTATAAACCGAAGTCCCGTGTCGCAGTAGGTGCTGGCACGAAAAAGATCCCTCCCTGCTCAGTAGTCCTGAGTGTCGAGTATAGTACAGAATATACTGCTCTCTACCAGCAAATGGTGACATCTCCATATGAGTGAACAATTTTCGAAAAATTCAATCAATCACTCACATATTTTACATTGTTCAGGAAGTTTTTAATAAAGTTTCTTTGAGGGAAAAAATCCACCCTATTCTGATAACTAGACCATCAGCTTTCATAGTATTTATCTAGAAACATCTTGCTAGATTTCAACATAATTTCTCCCCATTTAGGTTTTGAAAAATTGATCAAGTTCAATAACAATTCATTCCTTAACTAAATACACTGATTGCTCAAATTTATTTCTTCAAAGTATGGAACTTTTGTCTTTACAAACAAACATCAACCTCCAGTTTTTTTTCTATATTCCAAATGAAATTTCTAACAAAATTAATTAAACATTTCTTTAATGTTCAATCAAAGCATCATGTTCAAGACAAGATTTAACTTTATTTTAAAAAAATGTCAAAAAAAAACGTCATGTTAAAACAACCAATCAGCGTCATTTTAATTGAAACCCATTTTTCCTGATAAAGCTATGTTTTTGTTTTCATAACTTCTTCGGTTCGTTGACCATACGATATCGGTGTTTTCATCGTTGACTTGAAGGGATTTCATCATCCTCGATACATATATTCTGTCTCACTGGCGTATCTGTAAAACATTTTAAAAATTATACCTAAGAGTCCTAATTCTCTTTTTATCTTTTCTGTTTAAAGGAGATACTAAGATAAATAAAAAACAGCTTAAAAACTTTTTTACATTCCACTTAGAAACCATACATCAAGCATGAAAATCAGTCAATAACATTTTCACTATGAATATAGTTCAATATTTTTTTTTAAAATTAATATCATTGCATCTAATACAAGAGGCCCATGGGCCACATTGCTCACCTCAGCACTGTGGCTAGCATAAAAGCAAAAATTAGTTAATTATTGAAAAGTTTAAACCCAAAAAAGTCCCAACCATTCCTTAAAGGGGATAGGGTATGATTTGCACAAACCTGAGTCTAAACTTCCTGAGAATGCTTCCATATAAATATATGTATGACCAATTACATCTTTGCTATTCTCGACAAAATATTTAAAGAATTTTATTATATATTTCTATGTTAAACTTTGGTCAGCCAGTGTGGCCCTGCCCAACCACCGGGGGTGGTGGTTGAAACAAATTTGAATCTACACTAACTGAGAATGCTTCCGTATAAATATGATCAATCATGGCTTTGCTATTCTTTAGTTTTTAATACATTTTTCCTACATATTTCAATGTGAAACTTTGCTCGGTCATTGTGGACGCTGCCAAGCCCCGGGTGTCATGTCATGATTTGAACTTGAATCTACACTAACTGAGGATGCTTCCAAATAAATATGACCAATCATGGCTTTTTTATTCTTGGGAAGTTATTTAAAGAATTGTCCTCTATATTTCTTTTTAAAACAATGGTCAGTCATTGTGGCCCCGCCCTTCCCCTGGGGGTCATGATTTCTATAAACTTGAAGATACACTACCTGATGATGATTCCATATAAATATGACCAAACATGGCTTTGTTTTTTACTAATTCATAATTATGTCCCCTTTGAAGGGGGCATAGCCCTTCATTTGAACAAATTTGAATCCCCTTAACTAAAACATACTTTGTGGCAAGTTTTGTTGAAATTGGCCCAGAAGTTCTTGAGAAGACGATGAAAATGTGAAAAGTTTACAGACTAACGGACAGACAGAGGGACATACAGACTGACAGACGGATGCCGGACAAGATGTGATCAGAAAAGCTCACTTAAGATTTCAGTTCAGGTGAGCTGATAAACTGATTCCAAAACCAAACCTAATTCTCTTATTTGAGGTTTTATTATCCTACCAACTACAACACTGCTTGTTGAAATTAAACTTATATTTTTGGTCTACCTTCATTCTTTCTGTCTTGCTTTAATTCCAAGTTCTCTTCTTTTCCTTGTTCGATTCCACTTGTGCTCGAGACAGGATCTGAAAATTTCAATTGTTCTTTGGAAGAAACCATTCATCAAGCATGGGAAACAGTCAGTTATATTTTCATCATGAATAAAGTTCAATAATTTTAATTTACATTAGTTTCATTGCATCTAGTTTAAACTGAACCCAAAACTTAACCTCTAATTTTGAGTTTTATCATCCTACCACCTACAACATTGGTTGTTGTCTTTTGAATGAAATAAAAAGAATTCATATAGTTTGATAACTAATTGTTGATAAGCTTTGGTCTACCTTCAATCTTTCTTTCTTGCTTTCCTTTCAAGTCCTCTTCTTTTCCTTGCTCCATTCCACTTGTGGATGAGACAGGATCTGAAAATTTCATTTGTTCTTTTGAAGAAATCATTCATCAAGCATGAGAATCAGTTAATTATATTTTCACCATGAATATAGTTCAAACAATATTCTTTACATTAATTTCATTGCATAAAGTTTAAACCGAAACCAAATCAAAAACTCTAATTGGAGTTTTCTCATCCTACCAACTACCACATTGCTTGTTGTCCTTTGAATGAAATTAAACAGAATTCATAAAGTATGATAACTAATTGTTGATAAGTTTTGATCTACCTTCTATCTTCTTTTCTTGCTTTTCTTTCATCTCCTCTTTTCCAGGTTTAGAGAGTCGAGATTCATCTATTAATTAAATATAGTTTAACTTGAAATCTTCCTCATAATTATTACTTACTCATGTTTCTAAGCGAAGAAATTATTTGTTTTGGATCATCATTGTATGAAAATCTAATGAAGTAATCAGTATGTGCTTACATTATTCTGTTCTTTCAGTGAGATTTAAGGGGTAAATATATTAAGGTTAGGATTGAGGTTAAGATTAAGGTTAAGGTTAGGGTTAGGGTTAATTTGATATAATGGTTTATGTAAAGATTTAAGTTTGGTACTAAGATCACATACAAAGTATGACTTGAGATTTAAAAGAAAACAAATTTACCACGGAATATATATATTTTGTGAATTAATTCTCAGTTTAATACAGTTGACGTAAAGAAGTTTTCAAGAGAATTGTCTATTCCAATAAATTCCCCTCATGGACAAAGTCAATATTTCATGACTCATATTATCGGGTCAAGAGAAGATATTTATTTATTTGCATGTTTCATTACGCAATTTTTACACTTCGGATCAGGGTCTTCACTGTGACCCTTTCAATATGGTATTACTTATATCTTCAACTTAAGTCATTTTCTCTTATTTATATCTCTAATTTTGATGATCGTTAAAACTACTTTATTTCTTATTAAATCGGTCATTTTTCAACCACATATTGAAGTTTGTTCTCATTCTAAGAAAATATTTTAATCTCCAGCATTAAAAAAAGATTCATTTTCCTCTATTCCACTTACCGGGTTCTTCGACTTTCTTTGACATCTTCCTACTGTCTCGTTTAGTAAAATGGCGGCTCAAGCCTACAAGTATGCACGTGACAATAAAAATAGAACTGACGTAAAGGTTCTAGAACTCTCTATGGTAAAATATCTCTCAGTAAAACTGGACCTACAATTATCACGTGATTTTTTTTGGCATTGACAAGATGCAACTGAGTTACAATAAAAGCCCCATTAGCCTACCCCTAACAAAGAGTAAAAGCTGCATCAATATGCTAATAAACATTCTTTAGAGTAAGAGTTGTACCAAACTGCATGATAGAAAAGAGGGGTTAGGGAGCGGCAGAGAATTATTCTTGTTATACGAAATGAAATTATTATTTTTTTTATTGTAACACTTCCTTCCTTGTGATTTCAATAATCTCTCTATATATCCAAACAAATGATTTCGAAGCAAGCTTTGGACAAAAGGGTATAAAATCTCAAATTTACTAATATTTGACTCGAAAAGATCTGTAATTAATCAGCGACTTTCATCTTAAGAAAAAAATAAAAAGAGCTATAAAATGAACGATCCCATCGGGAATCGAACCCGGCACCCCTTAATTTGAAGTCCGCTGTTCTGCCTACTGAGCCAAAGTGTATGATGGAAATGACGAAATAGTTTCGCTACACAAAGTATTTAAATTAAAAAATCAATAACCACGCCTACTGAAATCACGTGACAGAAAGTGACATTGACGAGATGGCTCCGGAGCAATCTTCGTAAAACCCCCTATACCCTAACCCTAACCCTAACCCTAACCCTAACCATGATAATTAGCAATTAAAAAAATCAAATGAAATATTACCTTACATAAAAAAAAACACCCATTAAAAACACAACAGTATATAAACGTCCAAATCGAAAGAAATTCTGCAAGAAAACACCTACTTTCACAATGAAATGATTGACAATCACGTGATAAAATAGGCGGAGTCCCGCAATCCCGCACCCGCAACACGTCAAAGTGCCCTTACCCTAACCCCACTAACCCTAACCCTGACCCTAACCCCACTAACCCTAACCCCACTAACCCCACTAACCCTAACCCCGCTAACCCCACTAACCCTAACCCTGACCCTAACCCCACTAACCCTAACCCCGCTAACCCCACTAACCCTAACCCCACTAGCCCCACTAACCCCACTAACCCTAACCCCAACCCTTACCCTAACACTAACCCTAACCTTAACCCCCACTAACCCTGACTTTAACCCCCTGCAAACATTTACTTTTTGTTTTTTGCCCATATCTTTTCACAGACTGCTCCGATGTCAACGTTCTTGGTGTCGTTGGAAAGGTCTTCAAGAACTCTTTACGCTGATGTCATGAACTTGTCAGTTGAGAGAGCACAAAGTAGAATTACAGGCGATTTTCTTTTATATGCTTGCAAACGGCAGAAGATCTTTATTTCGTTATGCATTTTCAAGATCTTGGGCTTGTCTGAAAGCTCTTGACAACATCTATTCATAGCCATGACGCTCAGAACAATTGGCCACTTTTCTTGAGGCTTTCTAGAGCAGATATTGCCTAGGTGTACCCACGCTGCATACACAGACATCTTTCAACCCTCGCAACTTTTTTTCGTTTTTAACCTTTAACAACCATCTTCGGATCGTTGACAGAACCTGCCAAGACCTTTCTAATAACACCAAGCGTTTGAAAATCGCATGAAAACTAAGAGAAATACGAACCTTTCAATTTGGCGTCAATTTGCCACCCCTTCGGAGCACTTTTTGGTCATTTCAGAGAGAAGGATTGAGGTAGGGATTTCAAGACCTACTTGATCTTTCATGGGAAGAGGAGTTCCCTTCCGACCCAAACTTTCGACTTCCGCCGACGTCGCCTTCCGGTCCATCCGGCGTTACGGCACATATTCTTCAAATGCCCATAGGTTGCATGCCCTTGGAGCTATGAGGCTGAGCTTTGGTATATGCATTCCTTGAAGTCTTCTTAATCTGTTACGTACTGGTTTAGGGCCTTTATCTCGCACCCTTTCCGCGCTATCAGCCGGAAAAGAACTTAGCGCGGAACGCAAGTTTACCTCGTCTCCGAGCATAACCGCTTTTCTGGGCACTTGAAAAGTACTCACTGAGACCTCCTCAGCAACGTCCAGGTTGTCTGGAGCTGACCACAAAAAACCGTCCAACCCTTCTCTCAGATTTTCTAAGACTTTTGTATATTTTCCGCATGTTTAGTCATTAATATCTTTAGAGGGAGAAAGTATTTCTGCTAACTCTTTGCAGCTTCTAGGAGTCCCTATCGAAGTGTATTACTGACATAAATTTGGTGTTTCAATTTCCTTTACTGTTACTTCTATTCATGACATGAAAAGAAAAGACAAGTCAGAGAGATGAAAAAGTCCACTTTAATCTTTGTACATTTTAATTATCAAGACATCAGCGCGGGTTAAAAACTAGTGCAGTCCACTAATTATTTCATCACATAAAGCTTTCGCTGTGTATAGCGTGGTCCGCTGTAGACGCACTCGCAGGCTTCGTGTATGCCATCCGCAACAGGTGTGACATGCTTAGGTCAACACTTTGAGCGCGCGCTGACTTTGAATAGGGTAAGCGAATAGTTTCACAGACAGTGGAGAAAAGAAGACGTGAAAAAGGTAGGCAAAATACTTCATCGCTAGGTTATTAAGATATTATTTAAAAATGAATATTAATTGTTGCGAAATTGAAGTTGTATATAATGTAAAATTAACATACAAGTGGAATCTTTAGCGAGACACCAATTTATCAATTTTTTTTAACCCCAGGGTTACATAGATATTTGCCTTTTTGGGCTATTTTTTTTTTCTCCTTATAAATCATTTTGTATTTGATGAAACAGAAAAACATAAATAATCTTCATGACACAGGAATAATCGAAAAATCAAGCAAATATTGGACCTATGCTCAGAGGTCAATAGCATTTTAGGTGAATTTGTGTATGTCCCATTCAATATATACACTTTTCTTGTATTTCTTAAAAATACAAGAATTAAAAGTGATGTTAGGCTTTCTTTTCCTTCGTCTAAGTTAACTGTGCAAATATAAAGCAACAAATTTCTATTTGATACGTAATCGACAAAGATAAGGACATGTCTGGTGTCGCGACATGTCGAAATCACTAAAGGCCTTCTTAATTTGTTGCGACATGATTTTTCGACTAACCAAGTGTTGTGAACAATTAAAAACATGTTGAATTTTGCTTATTCAATGCATTTCCTATTTTGTTTCTATTATATAAGGACATACAGTTCACAAATTGATTAAAGTTACATTTTACACTTTCTAAACCCCAAAGTGAAATTTATATTTCCCTTTTTGGCTAATTCTTGCTTATTATTCAATTTATATTTGATAGTAGAAGAAAATCAACCTTTATTTAATATGAATAACCTGAAATTAGAGAAAATATTTCACAGCTTCCCTCCAAATGACCTCTGCTCAGAGGTAAGCAGCATTGAAGGTGAAATTTTGTAAGTCCCTACAAAATTCCATTTTTCTTGTATTTCTTAAAAATACAGGGAATTTAACTAAGATTAAGCTTGTTTTTTCTTCGTCTAAGTTAACCGTACAAATATAAAGCAAAAAAACTTAAGCTTGATACGTAATCGACAAAAATAGGGGCCAATCAGGAGTCGCGACATCTCGAAATTACTTAAGTGGCCCTTGTTCAGTTGCGACATGATATTTCGACTAACCGAGTGTTGTGGACAGTTAGAATCAAGCTATATTTAGTTAATTCAACACATATTCTACTTTGTTGCTATTATAACAGTGCATAAAGTTCACAAAATATTTCAGTTACATTTTACACTTTCTAACCTCAGGTTTAAGAAAATTCATTTATACTGTATTTTTTAAAGAATACATGTAAATAAAATAAAATAAAGTTTGTCTCTTCTTTGTCTAAGTTAACCGTATAGGTATAAATAAAAATATTCAAGTTCTGTACATAATCAACAGAAATAAGGACAAATCAGGTGTCGCGATGTCGAAATCACTAAAATCATTCTTCGGAGGTTGCGACATCATTTTTCAACTAACCAAGTATTGCGAACAATTAGAAATATGATATACCTTGTTAAGTTCTCACATACTATACCTTTTTTCAATTTAGATAGCAAATAAAATTCAGAAAATGATTAAGTTACATTTTACACTTTCTGACCCCAGGGTTATAATATACATTCTCTTTTTGGCTATTTATTCTTATTACTCATTTCATATTTTATATTACAGGAAAATCAGCCTTCATTGAATATGAATAACCAGAAAGAAAAAAAAGAAAGAAATATCTGACAGCTTCCCTCCAAATGACCTCTGCTCAGAGGTAAGTAGCATTGAAGTTGAATTTTTCCAAGTCCCCACAATAGACATTTTTCTTGTATTTCTCTTATATATATAGGGAATTACAGTGAAATTAGGCTTCAATTTCCTTCGACTTACTTAACCGTACAAATATAAAGCAAAAGACATTTATTTTATACGTAATCGACAAAAATTAGCACATATCTGCTGTCGCGACATGTCGAAATCACTTCAGTCATTCTTAAATTGTTGTGACTTGATTTTTCGACTAACCCAGTATTGTGAACAGTTAGAAACATGTTATATTTTGTAAATTCAAGACATATTCTACTTTGTTTTAGTTCAATCAGTACTTAAAGTTACTAAAATGATTATGTTACATTTTACACTTTCTAACCCCAGATTTAAGAAAATACATTTCTATAGAATTATTTGGACAAATACAGGAAAATGAAGTAAAATTAAGTTTGTTTCTTCCTTGTCTAAGTTAAACGTACAAGTATGAATAAAAAAATTAAAGTTCTGTACGTAATCAACAAAAATAACTACAAATCAGGAGTCGCGACATGTCGATATCACTTCAGTCAATCTTTTTTAGCCCCGACATGATTTTTGCGACTAACTGAGTATTGCAAACAAACAGATGCATGTTACATTTTACACTTTCGAACCCCAGGGTTAGATATTTATTTCCCTTTTTAGCTGATTTTGGCTTTTTAATCTATTCATATTTCATATTAGAGAAAAATCAACCTTTATTAAACATGAATAACTTGAAATTAAAAGAAATATTTGATAGCTTCCCTCCAGATGACCTCTGCTCATAGGTAAGTAGCATTTTAAGTCCCAACAAATATACATTTTTCTTGTATTTCTTGTAAATACAGGGAATTAAAGTAATATTAGGCTTCATTTTCCTTCGTCTTAGTTAACCATACAAATATAAAGTCAAAAAATTTTATGCGATAAGTAATCAACAAAAATAAGGACATATTTGGTGTCGCAACATGTCAAAATCACTTAAGGTGCTG